CATCCTTGCTCATCTTTTATCATTATGTTCCATTTATTTTCTTTTCAGAATTTTTTGGATCTTTGTATCTTTTATTGCTTAATTCTACCCAACATTATCACTTTGGCCTAAATTATACTATTAAAGTTATGTGATATTGCGTTATCTAGCCGTTTGTATCGGCTGGTTTAGCCGCCTTAGCCATGGCTACTCTATCTAGTTGTAACACTAGTTTAACAGTGATATTAAATGAGTCTGTTTATCTAGTTTAAATATCACTATTATCGGCTTTTTCAGTTATGCCAAGTTAATAAAAAGCCGTTAAATAGAAGTATAATTTACTGTCAAAGATACTAAAAACCATGTCATTAAAAACATGTCTGGTAATTTTACATATCAATCGCGTATATATATGTTTTTTATATATCCTATATTACTGTATTAAATTTAGAAAGCATATTCAAGAATTACCTTCGAAAGAGCATGCCGAATTTATGCATATTGCTGTATAATAACACAAGATCCACTTGTTAATACCGTATATTAATACAATTTTTCAATAAATATTTAAATCATAATTACCATTACCGTCAACAACACAAAGAGTAGTTTTTTGTTTTTTTTTTAGTGCTGACATTCAGTATATTCAATATAAAATTTTATATGTTCAAATTTGTTAAATAATTTTTATATATTCGAATTTGTTTAATTGTTAACAACTTTTTTTTTCATAGTGTTATTGGAAATTGAGATACTGTATTAGAAAACAAGGTATTAAGCAGAGTTATACAATAATATCACTTATTTCCAAAAATCTTAAATTTTATATCTTTCGCTAGCAACGACAATGAATGAAAATTGCAAAATCCCAACATCAAATAAGCGCACCAAATAAGTGCATCAAAGTTTTTATTTATTTTTATTTTATTTTAAGTGGAAATTAGGAGAAATTACTAGAATATCATGAGAATCGGCGCTTTGAAAAATCTCAAAATCCAATATAAAGATTTAAAAATAGTATTTTGCATTTCAAGATAATAATATTTTTTTTTTTGTACTATAGTACACAAAGAACGCTAAAAATGAAAAAAAACAAAATAAAGCTAAAATTAATACTTTTCATATAATAAAAAGAATCGTGAGTATGTTATGCTCTATATATTCGCATTATAGTAAGGAGTGTCTAGCAAAAATTTTTTCTTACTGTATATTAATAACAATATACTTGTTACTTTTTGCTATTAGATTCTTTAGATTCTTTAGATTCTTTATATAAGAACCAGCTACAGTATATACTTTCTTTATTATAACAAAATCTTTCTATAAACTAATTTGGATGAAATCCAATATATAATTTGGAAATAAATTTATATATAGATCATAATTAGTAGCAAACAAGACAGTAATACAAAAAAAAATACAAACGGTAGTATAAGCATTTTACAAGATTTTTTTGAGCAAGACCTGCTAAACAAAAGAAGCTTTAAAAGCTACTAACTAGTGTTAAAATTTTTACATTCAAATATAAAAATCCCCACCTTACACTTTTGTTATTTTAATTTAAAATATGTAATATATAAATAAAGTATGTAATATTTTACATATAATACTACAGTCGAAAGTAATGTATGATTAATGTTAACAAAATTTATAAAAATTTTAACTTACCCTTTTGATACGTAGTTAGGTTTACGTACAACGTATTATTCTTTTCCATTTTTATTAGTTATATATATATATCTGTTATTTATTTATTTATTTGGAATTACCCAAATTTTTTAAAGCCTTATTTATTACAGTATTTCGTGTTAAAGTTACTCTACATGGTAAATAATGCATAAAATTGAACGTGCGTTTAATGATTGTACACATAAATTTTTATTTTCCGTAAATAAATTAATTTTTAATGTGTGTTTAGAACACAATATTTTTTTTAAAATATAATAAGCTATGATGTGGTGCATGTAAATAATTTTGTTTTTAATAATTTAAACTGGTCGCACAACTCTTATCATATTTAAGGGGTCCGTTCGTTTAGAAGAAAGTAAAAGAGGCACATACGTCCGTACGTACGTACGTACGTCCGTATGTACGTACATGTATCGTAAAATTCCCGAACCTGTAAGCTCAAACCCAAGTCAAATTAAGGCAATAATGAAAGATGTTCAATATATAAAAAAGTAAAGTTTAATGTTAGGGAGAAAGTTTTATATGTAACATATGTTGTACCTCGGATTAATGCGGTGCCAAACAACTTTTTGACCAGAATTAACGGATTGGTCTAAACTATTCACTTCCTAATTCTAACTTAAGCCAAAAAAACATTAACGCAAGCTTTAATCTGGGGCACAATATATACACTACTATGGTGAGAACAGTAGTCGTATCAAGAATTTATATGTATTAAATTTAGTAATTGCAAAAACATATATATATATATGGATAAATTTCAGTAGTTTTTGGTAAGATCTATTAAATTGCATATATTAAAGTCTGTATTTATTCTTGAAACTTTTTTTTAAAATAATAAGAAAGTATAGAAATTTCGAGTACTGTACTATGTGCTAGTATATGATCTTTATAGATAAATACGTATATACCGACCAAACTTTATTTAATTAGTTTCTAAATTAGTATTACAAGTATTTCTAAATTAACACATTGATAACCGAAAACAAAGGGTCGATAATATTGGTTAAATCAAAACAGAAAATACAAATTTAGCAAAAACGAGTTCACACAAATAAGAACTGTGTTAAAAATTTTATTCATACGTATATATTATTGTATGTGTGTGTGTGTATACTTTTACCAAAAGAAAAATATATACGTAGTTGAATTTTTAATCTATTTATTATATGGTTAAATTCGTATAGTATAGTATGTTAACTTATGCGGAATTTTATTTCGCCTTTAATAAATTATATAGCAAGAAAATAAAATAAATCTATTTACTCTGATCCATCCACACTAATATATATCGTACATGATCTTTAGATTACTTTAGATTATCATGATAGTGCCTCGGTAAAAATTTTAAGAATAAAAATTGATCGGTAGAATTCTTAAAAATTGACAACGCCTTAACATATGTGATCAATCTGGTAAGACCTTAAAGGAATAGTGTGTTTTACCACATGATTATCTACAACCTCTTATTCCTACTATTACATCATAAATATTAAAAACTAAACCTACATAGTTAATATCGATATGAGCAATGGCGTTAACTCCCTTCTTGGTTAAAAGATCCTTAATATTATTATTAATGCTAAAAAAATTTATTCAGATAAAAATTTTCATTTCGAAACAATCTATTAAGTTTAATCAAAAAATAAAATAAAATAAAAAAAAAATACAAATCATTTTCTATATGTATATATATATAGTATAAAAGCTAACTAGAGTAAACTACTATATCAAATTTCTAGCAGTTACTTTAGAAAAGGCGAAATAAATGCACATAAAAAGTTAATTACAGTACACGAATATTGTGTGTAAACATCTACAGTTAATCTATTTAAATTATGACAAATTATTATGCGGACGCGGTCGACCTAGTAATTAATTCGACAGAGATAAAAAAAAAAAAAAGTTATTATTATTAATAAATATAAAGATGATAATTAAGAATTTTTAATATCATATAATGGGGTTTCAGAGTTAAATCGAAATACGGAACGTATTTTGATCTTACAACTACCATTGTTTTCTAGACTACAAATAATGACTATCACGTAAATAAATAAATTAAAAAAAAATTTTGCTTTGTGAAAGGTCATTCTTAATTTAATTTTGATTTTTAAAGCTCGTACTTATTTCTGAAATACGCTATTTTCGTTAACTTTGAAACCCTCTAATTGACGTACTTATGTATTGATTATAATTAATCCATACCTTTATAATGTGGTTGCCGTTCATAAGCATTTGGACTACCAGTCCGTTTCTTTCTATGGTGATTATGGCTATGGTGACTATTTTCACCTTCATTATCATGATCATGATCGGAATCATCAGAACAACTGCTCGAGTCTTCATCCGACGATTCATCAAATGGTTTCGGCCTATGGTAAATACAACATACTTAAAAAAAATAATAATAATAACGTTAATATAAGGAATAAATCGGCACATAATAATAAAGTATAACATAAATATGTGGACGTACCTTTTGATTTTTTCTTTCCCATTCCTTCATTATCAACAACGTTTTCATCCCATTTTACTTTTCTGTCCCCTGAAAGTCCTCCACCACGTAGTTTTAAAGTTCCAACAGTTTGTGGAGAGTTGCTTGTTTCCTCTCCTGAACTTTGTTCCTCTTCAAGATCTTCCGGGTGAAGTGTCATAGTTCTTGAGCCATAAGTTTCCGGAGGCCCTGTTGTATTGGAAAGATCCCAGCTATTTCAATAAAAAAAAATACAAATACATCTTTATAGATGTAAGAGACTAAAAAAAATACCGGATGGGACCATCGTGCGTGTACGATAACGTAATGAATCTCCTGCTGCCATAATAGTTTGTTTTTTTTTAAAAGATCAACGTTAAAAGATTTGAAAATTTCTTTGGCTTTCTTATATATCTGATTTATAATATTGTGTAACTTCCGTATTTGTGATACAAATCTGAATTCGAGCAAGTTCTACAAAATGGTATAACAAAAAAATTCACGACATATACTTTATTTTTGTTACAATGTCCGAGTATAAAGTTGCATCAACAGGAAAACTAAGCTTTAAAGGAGACAAATCCTCAAAGTAATTTATTCGGAATTCAATGTTAAATTAAAACTCTCGTCTCAATAAACGTTCTTTTTAAATGAATTTTTTTTTTTTACTAGGAAAAAGAAAAAGCGTAAAGCAGAAGAATCAAATGAAGAAGAAAGCAATCAAGAAGGTTAGTCAACTCACTAAGCGTGTTTCAAAGTTACATATTATTAAGTTGGACAAAAACAAAAGGCAGTGTTTTGTTTAGAAAGATTAAATATAAAGTTGCACTAAGAGACTACTAGGAGCTTGTTGACTGTATATGTAAAATTATTCCTCAAAATATTAAAAATATTAAATACTCATTTATCTTGCAGGTTGGGTGTCTGTTGAAACTCCGGAAGATCTGGTTGGACCTTTATTTTTTATATTTAATAGTGAACCTCTATCATGCCTTTTCTGTTCCGAGAAAGATCAATCCATTGGTGTTCGTCCTTTGCTTGATAAAAAACTTCAAACTTGTGAGCCCGATGAAGTTTCTTTCGTATTTGTGGGTTCTAGAATAGCTGGCGGAAGTGATACTATATCATTAAAAACTTTTAATGGTAAATATCTTGCTTCTGATAAATTTGGCGCGATTACTGCTGAAAGAGAAGCCATAGGTCCACAAGAAGAATGGCGACCGGTCATAAAGAGTGATGGAATTGCATTACAAAATGCTTATGATAAATTTTTGAGTGTTGATGAAATTGCTGATGGTGGATATAAATTAAGAGCTGATGTAGAGACAATTGGTTTTTGTGAAACTTGGAACGTAAAATGTCAAGCTAAGCTTCGTAAAAAGTCAAAGAGTACTAAGAAAGAGAGTAAGCCAATTGGTGAATATGAGATTGAACAAATGTATGTATTATTATTTTTCTTTATCATTTCATGAATGCTCTAAAAATTTTAAGTTATTTAAATCTTTTTCCTATGTTTTACAGAAAAAAATATCAAACCTGGGGTGGTGGTCGAATAAAGACTACCAAAGATGATATATCTGAATTAAAGAAGGCTAAGAAGGAAGGAAACTTTTCTGAAGCGTAAGTTTATTAAACTTTATTTTTATTTTTATTTTTTTTGATATCTAATTACAAATATTTCTTTATAGATTACTGGATCGTCGAGAAAAAGTTAAAGCTGATCGTTATTGTAAATAGTTACAATTTATATTATCGATTATATAGTATGTTGGATTAAAAAATTAGCATGTGTATTTTTTTTTTTTTTCATCCTATCAGTTTAATATATAATTTATCGAGCCTAATGATTATTATCTTGTGGATATGTTGTATAGAATTGATAGAAATGGCAAAATAAGAGATAAAGGATATTATTATCCTTTAATTAAAATAAATATTAAAAAAAATAATCAATTTTTTGATTTGATCAAAACTTCTACTTGGTCTTTATTATTTTGTGTTTTATACAATACAAATATATATGTCGTACTCCAAATTAAAATCGTCTCGATTCAGAATCGTGTTGCCCCGGTTGAGAATTTTTTAGATTTAGAGTTAGAATCAGAGTACATAGAATATAAAAATTTAATTTTAATATAATTTGGGCCGAAATTACTGTCAACAAATATATCAAAATTAATTTTAATAAGCGATACAAATAGAGTTGAAAATTACATAAATTACATTACGTACAAATAAATTACGCTGAAACTTACAAAATTAAGATTTATCACTACGTTCGAAAAATGAAATTTTGGCTACATTATTCACATGATATCAAAATTACATGAAATTTTGGTTTCGGAAAACTTACACAAAAATTTCGTAAAATTGTACAAAATTACGGTAATTTTACAACCCTAGATATAAGGCATATAGGAACAAAAATATTAAAACTTTTTTGGTTTTATAAATATATTAAATCGTTGTAGTATTTTGAAAAGCTTAAAATTATTACCTACAAATCGAAACGACTTAGGTAGCGTACCAAAAATTGCTCCCGTAATTTTTACTGAGAATAAAACGTTGTAGTTTGGGTTAGGATTAGGGCGAGAAACATTTTTAATTAGGCCGCAGAAGGTTGTTTCTTAATTAAAATTTTGAGTTATTTCTGTTTTTTTTGTAAAAAATGACTTCGCTTCGATTGTAGCTTTGAGTTTTAAAAATGTGTAATTATTATTTACGTAATTTTATGACACATTTATGTTCTCAATACGTAAAAAAAAAGATATTTGCAAGGTTTTGCAAGGTATGTACATATATATATATATATATGGTTCGGTAACTATTAGATGGTGATTATTACTTAGATACTTCAACCATGCTGCCACCTGGACCGTGGTGGGTAAAGACACGGCCTGAATCGAACGCAGGACCTGTTGATACAGATAGCCACGCACAAACTGTTAATCCATATCCAAGATAATCAAATATTTTTTTTTTCAGCAATCTTTTTGTAAATCACTCGTGTAACATTGGCACATCACGTTAGCCGTTAATCAAATCTTCGAAATTAAGCACCCTTTTTTTGCATATAATGCAGGCCAAAATTGATATAGTATAAGCCAGAGGTGTTTAATTTTTGAAACAGTATCTGGTATGTTAATATAAAATCTATAACAACTACTGTACTGTTTTGAAATTAAGCACTCTCTATACTAATTTTGGCCTGTATTATAATGATTTTGTCTAGTATTATATATAAAAAAAATGCTTTATTTATTTATTTATTACTGTTAAAACACTATTGGTTTTATTACTATAGTCAAACCTCTCTATAGTAGTGTTTCAAAGTTCAAGTTAGGTTTAATTAGATTCGGGTTCAAGTTCAATTGAACCCAAACCAAACTTTAAATTTTGCAAATCTTTGAACTTGAACCTGAACTGAATCTAGAACTTATGGATCTAAACTGAACTTGAACTTGGTATATTGAGAGACTGCTATAGAAAGATTTTACAGAACTTTACACATGGAATTTAAGTATCCTCCTAAGCTACTTGGCAATTGTATTTTCAAGTAGTTTAATAGATACAGCTCTAACACCTTTTGTATACGAAGTTGAAGTAGCTAAAGCCGCTATACACTTATTGGTGGTAGAAATAATCGAACAAGCAATCGAAAGCTCTCAAACAATAGAGAAACTAAAGAGCATTACAGCATAGCTAGAAGAGCAAAAAAAATTAGCATTCTATACTGACGGTTTATTTTCAAATCCAGATAAAAACCCAGATAGAAGAATTATGAAAATTGGCTAAGTAGCCACAATTGAAAACAAGAACAAAAAGCATGATCACTTTATAGCAGAGTTTCAAAAAACAATAAAAAACTAGTCATTCTCGACAAAAGCTGAACTAGGAGCAATCTGGTTAGCCCTGCTAGTCACTTTCTGCAAGACTTTAATTAGTATTTACACAGATAGTGCAGCTATAATATAGACAATATAGTCAAACGAGAACAAAAACAAGCAAAGTAAGGTAGTCAGAAAGAAGAATTTATGCCTTTTAGAACAAATCTAAAAAACAATTGATTTGAAAGAACTAAAAGTTTAGCTCAACAAGATCAAAGCACATAGTGGTATATAAGGCAATGAGAAGGCAAATAAACTAGCAAAAGAAGGAACATGAAGCCAGATGGTTCTGGATCCCAAGTGGCCCTGGAACAAGCAAGCCATAATTGAACTTAGGTGGCAAAAGACAAAAGTAGATGATACAACAAGAAGCTTCATTACAAGATTAACAGAATTCTGTATTAACATGGAATGGAAAAGCCTTAAAAGTATAAACAGATGGGTAACAATTGTTACAATGCTATAGCCTTCTTGGTATTGTTATAGCAAAGTAACAAGGTTACCTAGTGCAGTGATATACTTTATGAATTTACATGGGGTAGACGTGAAGTGTATACTTTTACTTCACAGCAAGAGGCAAATGGTTCAAGATAATAGAGATGATAATATTTATTAATAATAAGTTTATAGTAATATCCTTTACTATAGGGATTAGTGTTCCGAACCGGATCAAAAATCACAGATTGATCTGGGATTGAACCAAAATCGATCCAATCTCCGGATTCGAATCAAATTCGGCCAATCCGGGGATTATCAAAAAAAATTTTTTCTTAAGCACGCAACTTGCTTATTCTAGCTAAATCT